AAATCTTCAAACAATTTGCTATCGATTGGTGATAAATTTTTTTGGAAATAAAACTACTTCAATGAGGAAAAAAATAAAAATTTGGAATATCTATACATGAGGGGCTAATTGATCGGATCTCTTTTCGTCGATCCTGAGTCATATTCTGGTCACAGGGACCCTGTATATTGAATTTTTAACACGTTCTGTCAATGATGAACATCCCTGGAGGCTCCTCCCAGGAGTTTTCGTCCCCCCGACCTCTTCAATCAGAAAAACTATCTTATAACCTTGATTTTATCATTGAGGAATTTAGCAAGCCTGACAGCAGGTGGTTGGCACTCTCCCAAGGAGCTCAGAACGTTAGTTTCAATGTCTGGGGGGTGATAACTGTCTGATGGGTGTTCAGAGGTCCTCGTGTACCCAGGTCTGCACTCGCACCTGACCTTGTTGATGGAGTCTTCTCTTTTCCACGTGTTGTCATCGATTTTGGGCCGTCTTCTGGCCACCAGCCACTCGCCCTGGCCACAGGGACCCTGTGTGTACAATTTGTAACACGTTTTGTTGATGAGGAACATTCCTGGTGACTTCTCACACGAGTTTTCGTCCATCTGAGGTCTTTCAGATGGTCGCTGGCTGGTGGTGTTACCGCAGATTCCGTTGTAGCTTATTCCATCGATCGAGGGACGCACTGAGTAGTCGTACAGGACCACTTGGCCTCTTGGGCAGGGACCATTTGATCCTATCTTGTAGCAAGTTCTCTCTCGAGGGAAATACAGTCGGCCACGTTTGCAGGGGACGGGGATGCACGTTGTTGAGTTTACGAGCATGTCCCCTGGGGCACAGGGTCCACGGGTGTGCAGTCGATAGCACGAACCGTCGTGATATTCAACGTGATTCGGTTTACACTCGCATTTTCCGTGAATCTCTGCATCTGTGGGCGTTTGGTAACGGGGGATTGTGAAGTGCTGACCTTGCGGGCACGGCCCTGCTCCACCTGGGATGAATAACAATTGAGTTTAATTATTCTGGACAGCTTCAGTGATATCCCGAGGGATTTCGTCGGGGAAATTCAGAATTGCATGAAAAAAATTAAGGGAATTGCACATTTCGGGTCATTCATTCGGAGAATGCAGGTACATATATTGTTGTATATATTTACAAGATATAAGAATTAATATTTATGGGTTTGTTGAATTCGTATTTATGGTTTTGGTGGAATTTCAAGTAAGTCGGGGAATTTTTGTCTTTCTGTTGTAACAAAAATTTGGTTCTATTGCATTTTGTTAATTTCGGGAATTATATTTTTCTAAAAATTACTTGAATTTTTTAGACACTTCAATTTTAAAAGTAAATTTTTTTCTAAATTTAAGTTCATTTATTCCATGAAAATCAATAGTAATCGGGAAAATTCAAATGTATTCTTGTATATATTTACAAGAATTAATCTGTTAGTTAATATTTATGGTTTTATTGAAATTTCACTTCAGTAGAAAAAAAAATTGTTTTTCTTAGCCGTTCCAATGAAATTCCAAGGGATTTCGGCGTTGAAATTCACAATTGCATGAAAAAATCAAGGAAAACTGCACATTTCGGTTCATTTATTCCCTGAAAATCACTAGTAATCAGAAAAATTCAGGTAAATATATTCTTGTATATATTACATTTACAAGAATTAATTTGGTACATAATATTTATAATTTTTTCCGAATTTCAAGCAAGTTGGGGAATTTTGGTCTGTCTGTGGCAACAAAAATTTCATTCTACTCTATTTTATGCATTTTACTTATGAATTTTAAGTTCTTTGGACACTTCGATTGAAAGTGAAATTTTTTGTAATTCTTCCGATTAGTCAGTCAATGACAATTAAAGGAAAACGACGCGGTGTGGCTTTTCCCTCTAGAGTTAAATGTCAATATTTCGAGAATTTTTCATAATTATTCAGAAAATTTTTAAACCCGATGAACGAAATAAATATTTCGCCTAAATTTTCTGAATGAAAAGGTCTTCTATTTTACCTAATGGATAACATCTCTGCGTCTCTTCGTGATAGTGCGGTAGCTCCCGATTGCACCCACACACTCCCTCGGGCAAGAATATCTCCCCAGGTTCACTGCAGGGTCCCCTCGTGTAATGCTCGTAGCACCCTGGGTTCTCCCCCATCCACCGAAACATCCCCAGTTCGCCCTCGCTCCCACACGAACAGACCGCCAGGTTGTCCTCATTCAGGGTCAAGAGTTGACCCTTGGAGCAAGGGCCACGGGTCAGCTTGTCGTAGCACTTGCTGTCGCGGGGGTAGAACACTTGCCCACGGCGTGCACAGGAGTCTGGTTCCCTGCAGTAGCCCCAGCGGCTGATACTCCTGGAAACCCAAACTTTTATCGAATATTTCTGCTGGAGTAGGAAATTTTCGGGCTTGCCATTGAGAAAGTCAGTTTTTCTGAAATTTCAGTTCATTTATTCCGTGAAAATCAATAGTAATCAGGAGAATTCAGGTAAATATATTCTTGTATATATTTACAAGAATCAATTTGGTACCTAATATTTATAGTTTTATTCGAATTTCAAGTAGTTGGGGGAGTTTCGTCTTTCTGTTGCAGCAAAAATTTGATTCTACTGGATTTTATCAATTTTAAGAATTATGGTTTCGTAAAAATAACTTAAGCCCCGGGGGTACTATCTTTCGAATGTTATCTCGATGTTTTTTTTTTCTTTCGTCATCTGAAATCGTCAATTAAGTCCTGCAGCATGCAGAAGTTTTGAAAAATTATGAATGAATAATTTTAAAAAAAGTAGAAAAAATTCTCAATTTTTTCAAAGAGGATTTTTAATTTATATTCAGAAAAAGTTGAATAACAAGAAATTGAAAAATGTATATGATTTACGGTGACAAATGGCGGTCTGTCACCCAATATCATGCAGGGGAAGACTGATTTCGTAAATCTTTTCCCACACTGCACAGAGACATTTATTACGCAAAAGGCTCTTTGAAAAAAGTTGTAATATTTTGTAGAATTTTTTAATCACACTTTTATCACATAAAAATGGCAGATGGCTACATACCACTGTTTTGAAAATTGAGATACCTAGCTGTCACTTCCCATGAGGAGTTAGTGTTTTGTTATCCACCATGGAAAATGACAGCTAATAGATAATTTGCCACAGCGAATCAGATATTTGTAATTTCCACTTTTTTCAACGCATTCTGAATCTCAATTAAAAACGCTCTTTGAAAATATTCAAAATTTTTTCCATTTTTTTTATCATTCTATCATAATTTTTGGGAATTTCTACATGATGTACCACTCAATTGACAATTTTGGATTACGAAAGATAAAAAAAATCCAGATAACATTCGAAAGACAGTACCCCGGCCTTAAATTTTTTAGATACTTCAATTGAAAAAGTCAATTTTTTTCCAATTTTTCCGATTAGCTAGTCAACGACAATTACAGGAAAATGACGCGCTGCGGCGTTTCCCTCTAGAATTAAATGTCAATCTTCCTCAGAATTTTTCATAATTTTACCGGAAATTTTTTAATTCAATGAACGAAATTAATATTTCCCCTAAATTTTCTGAATCAAAAGGTCTTTCCTCCTACATTGTTGGAATTTCTTTTGAAATTTCATCGAAGATATTACAGTAAATCTCATGAGAGTGACATTCAATCGGATTACCCTGGGGCGTTGAGGGACTCTGGGACGGGCGCAAAGTACTGTCCCCTTGGACACGAGGCCCTTGTGAATATCGGATGGCATAGGGCGTCTCGGGCCGACTGGGCAGTTCCTGGTGGACATCTGCATTCTGCGATCACTCCTCCGCTTTTTGCGGAAGGACCTAGTTCCATTGTTTCCGGACAGGGCGCACCGATCTGCATAATAATTGCATTGCAGTGGAGTAATTATAATTTTTTTCATTTCATTCGTGCACTTTATTCATGGGAATTGTTAGTATGAAACTTATTCGATTTTTTATTTTCATCCATTCATTTTAGTCATGAAAATTGTAATTATGAAATTGATTCGATTTCAATTCTTTAAAATTTTCAATTTTTTAATCTCCAAAAAGGATTTTTATTTATTCAAATCACACAATTTGGTCAGCAGATATTAACAATTGAGATGTCTCATGAGCAAAAAAATTACTGAAATCCGGAGAAAACTTTGGATCGTGAATTTTCAGTTAAAAGGGGATGAAAAAATCTAAAAAATGGCTTAAAAAGTTTGTTCATTCTTTAGCAATTGGGTGAAACGAAGTGCAGGTGATTCGAAGAGGATAAATAATTTTAAGAAATGTTCAAAAATACGAGGTCGAAGCGCCGCCATCTTTAAAGCCACTTGCGACAGAGGGAGGAGGTATCCCTCAAGATGGCGGCAGCCCCACCTCGTATTTTTAAACATTTTTAAAAAGTATTTATCCTTTTCGAATCACCGTCAATTCGTTTCACCCGATTCCTAAAAACTGAACAAATTTTTCAATCTATCCTTCAGATTTTTTCATTCTTTTTTGGCCGAGAATTCACAGCGCAAAGTTTTCCCCGCAGGCCTCTTAATACGATTTCAATTCTTTTTTCTCGAAATAAATTTTTATTCATTCAAATCGCATCATTTCGTTGGAAGACATTGGAAATTGGAGAGGAAAATAATAGTTTCTGCATTTGCATTATTTTTTGAATGGAAAAAATTACCTGAAAAATCTTGTAACACTTCCCATCATCCGGCCAATAGAGCAATTGCCATCCTCTCGGTTGTGCAGCGCACGGATTACTCAGGGGATTGGCCCAGGGTGGTGGTACAATAGACGTATTGGCATCTGCCACCAGCAGGAGCCATAACAGACATCCAGAGAGTGTCTGCCTTGTTCTGCGCGCAATAACAATCGAAATTATGAATCGGGACATTAATAATTCATACAATCCACGTACAGTACAATCAATTTCATTAAAGATTCCGTCGTTACGAACTCGACGAACGTCGTTTCAAATTAGAAAAAAAAATGATAGATGATCCTATGGATTATTTTTAATACAAACGCCGCACCCGACGTTTACATTTTTTATTAGTCCCAATGAAGACGAGGGAATGATCGTTAAAACCGGGGAAAATTGGAGGTAATAGTCGTTTACATGGAGAGTAGTCGCTCATTGCTCGAATGTGAAATAAAAAATCACCATGTACTTTCACTGTTTCGTTATGGCAATGGCATTGTCTCTCGGGGACAGGGATGACCAACGCTTGTGGAATAATGACCCTGTTTAATCCCCACCATTTTTTTTTATTTCAACTTAGAAAACTCGTTCTTTCGTTCATCACTGGGGTCTTAATTTCGTTTTAACGAGGAGTTTCTCATTCTCACGTGAAAAAACTGGTTTTCCTCCGAATTCCTATCCAAAAAATCTACTACAATGTTAGAGTTTTTTTTAATTTGAGCCACAGCTGCATTAGAATTTTTAATTTTTGGATGAGATTTTCATTTTTAGGTCGAATTGGTCAGGAATTTGTTATCTATTCAAATGAATTCTATAGAAGTGGAGAATTCAGAAAAATTATTGCTCGGATTTTTTCAATTTTTTATAGTTTTCAGTGTCGTATGGAGCAAAAAACTTGAATTTATTTATTTAATGAATAAATAAATAATTAAACATCATCCATTAATAAATGGATGATGTTTAATTATTTATTTATTCATCCATTCATTCATTTATTTATGTAATCAATGAATAAATGAATATTATCAACATTAAGAATATTATTATGTAATAAATAAATAAATATTTATACATAAATATTCACAAATTAAATTTATCAATTTCACAATATTTATCACATAAATAAATAAATAAATAAATAAATGGATGAATACACCCATTGACTATGTATTGACTAAATGAATAAATAATAAAGGAATAAATTTTTTAATTGAGCTCTTCTTTTGACGTAAAGAAACGAAGGGAAGGGCTCAATTGAAATGGCCCATCGAGTGGAAATTTCCTCTTCATTAAATTATCATTGTGATTCGATTCTGCTGGGTCACGCGGTTGAATGAAAATTAAAGCACTTTCGTCCTTCGATAATGAAGGTCACATCTCCAGGTGAAAGTGATTAAATCGATAAATAGGAAGATTGAATTTTCGTAACGCAAGTCATCGCCCAGAAACAATGCGAATCAATTTTTAAAAAAACAATAATAATTACGTAAGGGGGTAATTAGGAGAGGCAATGGGGCAGTGGGGTGAATTAACCACGAGCTCTTACGTACTCCTTTCACGCTGCGCTGAATTATTCTCCTCATTCTGATCTGTATCTGACAAGTCGGAATAATAGTGGAGTTCCTTTGTTTAACCAACTCGCAATTTCCCGTATTTTGACATTTGGAATTTTTTTTATTTGAGATTTTTTCAATTAAATCATGAGTATAACCTGATTAAACTCAATTCATTAATTGGAGGGGTTGACTGGATGTTAATGGAGTCAGGTTGTGGATTAGACGAGGGAGAATGGAATCATGTCGCAGCATGTGCCCGAACTGTTGTCTTCCCTGCGGCGGTGACACTAGATTCAGGTAAATTCGGGGTAAAAATAGATTGCGGAGGTGGTGATCAATTATTCGTATTCTTAGCGATCCAGTCATTTCGGGAAAATAACAACTGTTGTGGATGGATCACCCATCCGTTTTAGCTACACACTCGGGGGAATAATTTATCTGAATTGAATTAACTCACTCTGTTGGAAAAAACTTAATTTCATTTTTATTTAAACTTTACTGAATGATACTTCATTGGAGTTGAGCAATTTCTTTTAAATTGTTCGTCATGAAGGTTTTATTCATGTCAAATCGATGGGTTATTGAATATAAATGAATGGTTATTTCGTCCAAATAATTTATCGTGTAATGTAATGATAATTTATTCTGCATTAAATACATTGTTTAGTTAATTGTGATGGGGAATTTGCTTGAAATGCAGACTTTATTTATATTCATATTATTACAACATTTTTATCGAGAAAAATGTTGGAGTTTGTTCATTTCCACCGAAAATTTTGTTGAAATTAATAGTAATTTTCATCTTTTGATTTTTTTTATTCATTTCAACAAAATTTCTCTGGTTGTTCTGTTGGGAATTTTTTGAAAATGTGAATTTGAATCTGTCCAAGAATTTACACTGTATTTTTTTATTTGAAAAATTCAACAAAATTATTTTTTTCCACGTTCAGCGAACGTCGATCATCCAATAGAAAATTGAATCTTAATTCTTTTTAATTCTTTTATTATTGTTATTTATTAATTATTATTAATAATAATTAATTAATTAATTAATAATAAATTAATAATTAATTAATAAATGAATTATTATTAATAATAATAATTCATGAATTTTCCTTAAAATTCCAATAATAATCCCCAAACCATATGCAGATCCCAATTTTGTTCAATCAAAAAACCAATCAACTATCAATTCCATAAATCACCCACCGATTTCCAATTAAAAACAATGAAACTCTAATCATTTCATTAAATAACAACGCCAAGCCAATTAAATATTCCCCGGCGATTTGTATCTAATGCTAATGCTCCAATGAATTGCATATTCAAAGTGTATAAAGCACGGATAAATTATCCATCACGCAATGTGTGACGATTTATTTGATGCGGGGACTCATCGACTCGTAATCGATTACGGGATCTTTTACGCAATGCCCGATGATTTCGAAAGTCGAAAAATGGTTCTCGGTGCTCCAGTGGGGAAATAACCGGGGAAAATTGGCGCATTAAATTAACGAGGAGTTTTTATTTCTCTCACCGTAAGTTCAGCATTTTTCGAAATCCAATTGCAACTTGGAAAATTCACATAACACTATTTTTTCTACGATATTTGTTCGTAGGGCTGGACCGTTTATTTTCGCAAACAACGAGTCGTTCACTTATTCGTTGAATTATTGATTGATTTATTTGTTTGATTATTTATTTTCTGGTTGAGTTGGTGGTGCATTCGATTTAAGTTATTTCTCGAGACTGAAGTGTGCGTGTGTCGACGGTTGGAGTAACGCGGATAGACTGAAGCCACCGTCAAACCTCCCAACTGCTCAGACTCATTTTCTGTATACTACGCTTGTTACCTAACACTTCTCACCTCCTGAAAGTGAAGGACTTTGGAGGCGGTTTTTTTTTTGTCTAAGGAGGGTAAATTCCACGACGATTGCGTTGGTAATCCCCATGTCTCCTCGGCTCATTTTTCATCGCATTTATATTCACCGGACGAATCTCAATTTCGTGGCTTTTTTCCTCGTCGCTATCTGGGTGAATGTCGATTCTTTTGGGACATGAAATTTGGATGATTATCTTGAGAATGGAAATCAACAATTTTTTATAATTTTGCAGAATTGGGGGTGGGGGAGAACGAATGGTGAGAATATATTTCTCCTGAATTTTTCTGATTTCTATTCATTTTCAGGGAATAATTCCATAAAATTTAGAATCTTCAATGAAAAAAATTAAGAAATCCTCCCCGAAATGATTCAGTATTCAAAAACAGATAAAAATCTGCGTTTCATCACGTATGAAAAAATTCAACAGAAAAATTTAGCGAATTCGCTGGAAAATTCTAGGGAATTCGCGTTAAGAGTCTATTTGTTTTTTGCGCTGATTCTATGAGATATTTGATAGGAAAAGTCAATAGATTTAGATTTTTTTATATGGCCATGAATTCTATTAAATTTTCTATTGGCCATGAATTTTCCAAATTTTTTTCGCTCGGATCCTGTAATACAAAACAAATAAAATATAGCGGAAAAAACTGAGAAAATCCGCGCCCAATAATTTCAGGAGGAAAAATCTCAAGAGAAAAATTCAAACAGAATATTCGTTTTCCTATCAGATATGTAATAGAATCTGCGCAAAAAACAAATAGAATTTTAACGAGAATTCCCTAGAATTCTAATGGAATCCCAATAGAATTTCAATAGAATTTTCTATAGAATTCGCTAAAGTTTTCTACTAAATTTTTTCATACGTGATGAAACGTAGATTTTTATATTTTTTTGAACGCTGAATCGTGTCGGGGAGGATGACAGGATGAAAATATCAGAATTTTATAGTTACGGCTGATGACTTTGCCAATGAGTTTATGGGAGTGATAATTCGTTTATGAGCATTCATAATTATGAATGAATGTTAAAATTAATTCAGTAATGACGCAAAATTTTTATCTTAGAATTGCTCGTTTACGGTAGAACCGCCCTCTTCATAAAAATAATTTAAAAATGCTGCAATCCCTCTTCCATCTGAGTCCTAAACAATTAAAATCACGAATAACGCTTCACAATTAGTCAACAGTTCCATCAGTCAATCCGCAAAATTCAATAGCACTCAGTCATAAAGTCTTGAATTATTTACGACTCCCCTTTCTACTATGCAATTTACCGAGCTACATAACAAGAAATATCGAATGTCCATGGTCGAATTTAAAAAAACTGATTCATAATTGTTATCGCACCCATTTGTTCAAAAATGTTGAAAAAAAAACCTCCGTAGTTCATAAATTAGAGACCCTGGACTATTTCCAACGTTTTATGGATCTCCGGGGCGAACGAACAATAAACAATTGATTCTTTTTCACTAATTATTCATTTTTAAACACATAATCGATCTTCAAAGTGTTAGAAATCTCATTGCAATCGCTCGCGGCTTTTAAAACTCACAGTGGTCTCTCCTTAATAGCAAATTTATAGTTCCATATTTCTAAATATTCAATCCATCAACAATTGAAAATTTATAAAAATCTAAAATGTGAAAAGGAGACCAACCTTAATAAGTGTAACTAATTGAGAAATGTAAAACAGCAACGACAGTGTGAATAATCTACAATTAGGATTCCAGCACTTTAAATATTATAATAATAACAAGGCTGAAGGTCCTCGGGCGATGGCCAATCGCAAACCCCTTGCGGCAAATCACGTTAAAAATAAATAGAAATCAACAAAAATAATTGAAAATATAATTGTAATTTTAAAAAATTGGAAATTTAGATTATCAATTATTTTACTATCTTTAAATTTCGATTAACATATTTAAACCTTGATCAATGTAAATAGGAAATTCTTCTAATATTGAAGAATCGGAAGATGGATGGCCATCCCTGCCGTTGAAACAATTCCGTGTCATAGCCCTTTTCAACATAACGGTACACCCGGAGATAAGTCCCTGGTAACGTTCAACGTCTGTTGTGTCTGATGATGCAATCGACCGAGAGGAATAATAGACCCCATTGATTGATGGGCCAGAGTGCGATGCACTCGCGTGACTCACAACCGCTACTCTCTTTCAGGGATGGCCAATAATATTAGATTTTGACAATCTTAAGAAGAATTATCTCCTTATATTGTTCAAAGTTCAAATATATTTAACAAATTTAAAATATTATAAAATTTAATAACCAAATTTTCCGATTGACGGTGAATAAAATATTTGATAACATTAAAATGTAATTTTTAGTTAACAAGCTAATTCTAAATTTAGGTATTTGATTTTTCGAGTGTCCAAATAATCGTCAATCTTTCTACCTAAATTATTGCTTAAGGCCTGGGTGTACTATCTTTCGAACGTTATCTCGATGTTTTTTTTCATCTTTCGTCATCCGAAATTGTCAATTGAGTCCTGCATCATGCAGAAGTTTTGACAAATTATGAATGAATAATCAAGAAAAGTAGAAAAAATTCTCAATTTTTTCAGAGCATTTTTAATTTATATCCAGAATAAGTTGAATAACAAGAATTTGAAAAATGTTTATGATTTACGGTGACAAATGGCGGCCTGTCAACCAATATCATGCAGGGGGAAGACTGATTTCGTAAATCTTTTTCCACACTGCACAGAGACATTTATTACGGAAAAGGCTCTTTGAAAAAAGTTGTGATATTTTGGAGAATTTTTTAATCACACTTTTATCACATAAAAATGGCAGATGACTACATACCACTGTTTTGAAAATTGAGATACCTAGCTGTCACTTCCCATGAGGAGTTAGTGTTTTGTTATCCACCAGGGAAAATGACAGCTAACAGATAATTTGCCAGAGCGAATAAGATATTTGTAATTTCGACTTTTTTCAACTCATTCTGAATCTCAATTAAAAACGCTCTTTGAAAAAGTTCAGAATTTTTTCTATTTTTTTTAATCATTCCATCATAATTTTTGGGAATTTCTACATGATGTACCACTCAACTGACAATTTTGAATTGGTAAAGATGAAAAAAATCCAGATAACATTCGAAAGACAGTACACGCGAGCCTTAATAGACTATTTCAAAATTTGAATGTACAAATTGAAATTGACGGTTAATTTAATGTTCAAAATTTGTTAAAGATGTATGTTGACAATTGACAACTTCACAATTTAACGGTAATTATGATTGACGCATATGCCTATCACTGTTCTCTTTCCCCCGTTTATTAATTTTTTTTTCATAAGAAAATAAGACCACCAGTGCAACTTCCGTGTGCACTGTTCTCACGGTGAATGAGCGCATTACGTTACCAGGAAGAGCCCCTCAAAAATGAGGAATAGATGAGGTATTAATTGTCGGAGGGGAATTGAGTGACAATTTGTTTGCATGCAACGCGGCTCGTTTTCACTTTCATGTGAGCATCATCGCGGGATATTTTTCCTCATCTGACGGTCTCCCTCACTGCCGTTATGCAGTGGGTGACCAAGGTGGAGGTGAAAGTCGTTCCAGGGCTTCCCCATGGCCACTCAATTCGTTACTTCTTCACCGTCGTCGGTCTCTCCCTCATTCTTAACATCTGAAGATCCTGTTACTGTTATGTATTCGGGATAACCATTATGTAATACTTGGGGTATTATGTGGGGGTCTTATTGGATCGATGGTTTATTCGGTATTACATTTATTCATCTGCGATGAGAATTAAGGATTGACGTAAGCATTTTTTTTACAAGAGTAAATTTTTTTATGGTCAAATGCCATGAAACTGGCAAAACGTTCATTGAACTATTATAAAGTGATCGATCTATCGCTCAGCTCTTCGTCATATTGTCAGTATCGATTTTTTTGTTTTTTTATGTTTTAGTTGATATCGACAATATGACAAAGAGCTAAGCGATGGATCGATCATCTTATAATGGTTCAAATAACGTTTTGCCAAAGTTTGCTCATCTGCAATGAGAATTAAGGATTGACGTAAGCATCTTTTTTACAGTAGTAAATTTTTTTATGGTCAAATGCCATGAAACTGGCAAAACGTTCATTGAACTATTATAAAGTGATCGATCTATCGCTCAGCTCTTCGTCATATTGTCAGTATCGATTTTTTTGTTTTTTTATGTTTTAGTTGATATCGACAATATGACAAAGAGCTAAGCGATAGATTACTCATCTTATAATGGTTCAAATAACGTTTTGCCAAAGTTTCATGGCAGTTGACCATAAAAAAATTTACTCTTATGAAAAACTCCCGCCAAAATTGCTTACGTCAATCCTTAAAGGGGACTACTATGAGTTTTAACCCTAGACCGGTCATCATGCGAGGGAATTGCAGCAACACGTCGTTTTATTCACCTTGCCATCGACTGGTTGACCGGAAGAATTTGAGAAAAATTGAATTCGTCAATTGAAGTACCTGGAAAATTCTAGTATTTTTTTTTTCAATATTTTATCCTTAATTCTGGGAGAAAAAAAATTATTTCCAACAGGTGAACAATTTTTTCCCGCGTTAAATGAAATTGCCTGTTGCGCGACGTTGCTGGGAACTCGTTAAACGCGTCCGGGAAGTGTAGAGTGGATTCGGCAACGCTGGAGCGTAAATAACACGGCGGCACTCTCCCGCGAAGGTGACTAAAGTCTCACTCTTCCCGTCAGGTGACCAGACTAGGGTTAAATGAATTTCCGAGTTGCATTGATCAAGGTTTAAATACACTAATTAAAATTAAAAATACTAAAATAATTGATAATCTAAATTTCCAATTGATGGTGAATTAAATATCTAATAATATCAATCTGTAAATTTTCGGTTAACTAAATAATAGTAAATTTCTTATAAGAGAATTATCCAAATAGTCGTCAACTTTCCTAACTAAATTATTGGTTAATACATAATGCGGAATTTGAATATTTAAATTGATGATTACTTAGTAATTTTAACAGTAATTTTCAACCCCCAGACATCCTGCAAAAACTAGAATTAACAAAATCCATTCTGATTAATTAATTAATCTAGGATTCTCCGTCCCAAGTAAACCTGATCCGCATAAATTTGCATGAAGTCCACACGGAGATAACAAATCCACAAGAAAATGTACCAGAAATGCCGTTCAGTTGAGGCAGTCGACTGATTCGTCTGTAATATTTTTTGCCACTGGCATTTTCCGTTTGAAATGCCGAGGGAATGACTTCCTGACTAGTACGAATGACGCTTTTAGGAGCATCGGGGAGAGCCGTTTGGTCCACGACATGCACTTCCTCTTCCTCGATTAAACTCACTTTCCATCTTAGTTTTACACTCAATTGCCTCGTCGATTAACCTTTCGTATTTTTTTCCAATGTTTTTTTATCGGCGTTTTTTATCGACGAATGTAAATGTTAATTTAGATATTACGAGGAGGAGGAGCTCGGTGATGAGGCTTGTAACATTGGAAAGCTGGGGAAAAAGTGTTTCCTCTCCGTAATTTCCACATCCGGATATTAATTCCCGTTGATGGGATATTGAATGTCGGATTTACTGTCGAGTTGACTACAGGGCCCTATGAGCTCATTGGAAATTCCCCATGAGATCTAGAATCGGTGTTTGTGCAATAGGATTTCCAGTGATTTTAATTCAGAGAATCTCGTACCAAGTATCCTTGTCCTGCATGCGGTTAAATATCATTGACCTGAGGTGAATTGATTAGATTTTTTAATCGTTCTGTGATTCATCGATTGGTGATCAGTTTATTAATCTTGTAGCTGAGTGATGTAATTGACGGCATGAGGCGACTTGACACGTCGGTAAATACCAACAGATATTTTTTTATAGAGAATTTAATCAGCTACTGACAAGTTTCTCGACATTATTTCGTGATTCGTTGATTTAGTACCATTTTTGTGACAATTTGATTGCCGAATTTCGAGTGCATAGTCCATTGTCCCGATTGTGAGAGCGTTTATGAGGTGTTCGAGGACGTTTTCTTGACTTCACTGTTGAATTCATTTTATTGAATATCAAATTATGTCGAAGAAAATTTCATGAAATCTTTTGCAGTTTATGCGGTAATAATGGATTAAAAAGGTTTCAAACCTTTTTATTTACAAAAACGAAAACGGTAATTAAGTGGTGGAAAAAATTACAATTCAGTAGCGATGCGGTAGAACGGTTCAAGGCCCGGGTGTACTATCTTTCGAATGTTATCTGGATTTTTTTCATCTTTACCAATTCAAAATTGTCAGTTGAGTGGTACATCATGTAGAAATTCCCAAAAATTATGATAGAATGATAAAAAAAATAGAAAAAATTGTGAACTTTTTCAAAGAGCGTTTGTAATTGAGATTCAGAATGAGTTGAAAAAAGTCGAAATTACAAATATCTCATTCGCTGTGGCAAATGATCTATTAGCTGTCATTTTCCGTGGTGGATAACAAAACACTAACTCCTCGTGGGAAGTGACAACTAGGTATCTCAATTTTCAAAACAGTGATATGTAGTCATCTGCCATTTTTATGTGATAAAAGTGTGATTAAAAAATTCTGCAAAATATTACAACTTTTTTCAAAGAGCCTTTTCCGTAATAAATGTCTCTGTGCAGTGTGGGAAAAGATTTACGAAATCAGTCTTCCCCTGCATGATATTGGGTGACAGGCCGCCATTTGTCACCGTAAATCAGATACATTTTTCAATTTCTCGTTATTCAACATATTCTGAATAAAAAGTAAAAATGCTCTTTGAAAAAATTTAGAATTTTTTCTACTTTTTAAAATTATTCTTTCATAATTTTTCAAACTTCTGCATGATGCAGGACTTGATTGACAATTTCATATGACGAAAGATGAAAAAAAACATCGACATAACGTTCGAAAGATAGTACACCCGGGCCTTGACTCAATTTCCGTTTTTGCAGCTCAATTTTCTTTGCAATAAAGGTAATTACGGAAATTTCGCCCTCTCCCTTAAATTCGGAGATATTCAAATCATTTTACCGCATCGCTACTGAATTCCGAATCTCATCGAGTGTGCGGGTAATTATTTCAGTAGCGAAGTGGTAAAGCGGTTTAAGTCGACTCATCTCCCACTTGAGATTTTGAGGAATATTTCCGAATCTAAGGGAGATAGCGAAATTTTCATGATCATATTTTTTGTAACTCTCAATCGGCTCTACAAGAAAGGTTACAATAAAAATTTTGCCATCTCCCTTAGATTCCGAGATACTTATTGAAATCTGGCCGTAAAAATGAACTTATACCGGTTTACCACTTCTACTGATTTGTAGTTTTTAAAAATCTCTTAATTGAAAAATGGTCTCTTAAGGGTAGAGCTACTTAAAATGTAAAAAAACAGTTCATCTTCAGCAATGAGAGTCTCAATTATTGAAAATCCCAATTCCTCAACAGGATTTGCATGGACCAGAGTGCTGAGCAAGAGCGTCAGCTGCGCTCCATGCAGATGGAGATGGAGAACAACCAGAGGCAGTTGGCAGCGGCCTCAGCAGATCGTGACAACGCAGCCCAGGAGAATCGCCGACTCCAGGACGACCTGGCGGCCCTCACCTGTGAAATTCGAACGCTCCAACGAGAGCTCGAGTCGTCGCGAGCTGAATCCTACGACTTGAAGCGTCAGTTGCAGACTTACGTCAGCGAGGTGCGAAGAGCTGAGGAGTTGCTGAATCGAAAGGAGAACGAGAGAACCGAGATGTTGAATCACTTCAGGAGTCTGAGCCTGGAGGCAACTGTCCTTGAGAACAACAATCACAGTCTGGAGAGTGAAGCTGCCGAGGCCAGAGGGGCTCTGCAGTCCGCCAGGGACAGAATAGTTGATTTAGAACGACAATTGGCCGACAAAGACTGTCTCGTTCATGGCTATGAGGCGCAAATAACCGAATTAACGCAGAATGTGGCGAGTCTGGAGACGCAGGTGCGACAGCAGACTGAGCAGAGGGCTCGCACTGAGGCTGATCTCAACGCTGTGAGGGATCTCTGTGTCAAGCTGGACCAGCAGAAAGAGAATCTTATGAAGGAGCTGGGGGACAAGGACGCCCTCAAAGCCCAATATGAAGCCCAGATTGCTAGGTTGAGGGCCGAACAGAATATTGTGCACGAACAGATGAACAGGGATCATGTCACTGTTGATAGGATGGAGGCTATGCTCGATCAGGCGAGGCAGGAGAGCATCGACTGCCAGACGCATAATCAAGAGTTGCAGAATGAAATGACTAGGATGAAGCAGAGAGTTTGCGAATTGCAGAATAAATTGTAAGTTGTGGAATTAAATTTTAGCAGTTTTTGGGAAATGATTTTTTCAAATTTTCAGACAGCATTGAATCGATTCAAAACATTCGTTTACATTCACAATAATAATAATAATAATAATAATAATAATAATAATAATAAATGTTTTTTTTTTATTAAAGAATTAGAATTATCGAGAAAAAAAATTGTAGAGTCCAAGTTGAGAATAGAAAAAGAAAAGAAAAATTGAAAAATAAAAATAAAAAATATGAAGAATGTAAAACTCTCATTGAATAGATTTAAAGCATCACTTTTTCATTTGAACGAAAAAAGAAAAAATTCTTCAACTCGTAAATTTTAGACATCTCTAATTACAGATCAGCAGAATCAGCGGAGCTCCGTAGATACCAGAATCAAGCAGCCGAGTACAGTAAACAGATCAGTGACCTCCGACGACAAGTAACGAACGAGAGATTCGATCGTGCGAGGAAAGAGGAGGAGCACAGAAGGTAAAAATAGTTAATCCAATAAAAAGGTCAATCTCACCTCCCTCAATCCACCCAATTAGCCAATTTGCTGAGAATCCACCTCCGGTCGTCCAATCAGTCCGCTTCCAACAGTCACCCAATCCTCAAGAGTTATCCTCGAGTATGACGAGGTAAATCAGCATTAAATACCATTGATTTATGTTCGCAGATCGTTGAACTCAACGCCTGAGAGTTTAAACTTCGACTTGAACGTTGTTATTTAGGATAGAGTAATTATAGGGCGATAATATTAGATTCATAACTAGGAAAAAAGCCATGGAATTATTATGGAAATGAGTAAGAACTAATTGAGATGCTGTGGGATAAATTAAATTTTTTTAACAGAATATAAAAGTTTCGTGGGAGTTTTTTTGTAAATTACTGACTGTAATTGATGTGATAATTGTTAGAATTCATCACAACATGCAGAACGAGATATATTGACCGTCCGAAATATTGAAATTGTACTCAAAACGTCTGACAGTATATCGAATTGTTCAGGGTGCCTTAAAATCTTTAAAGATTTCGGATAAAATAGAAAAATTGAGTGGAAAACTTTACACACTTAATTTTTATTTCGAAAAATCAAGGAGTTACAGCCAATTAACGAAACATCTCCCCCACTTTTCATTATTTATTGAAATAAAAAAATTCGTTTCGAACATTTTTACTCTTTTTACTCTTTTTACTCTTTGTTTCATAAAATGTAAAAGCTAATTGGAGTTTTCTCGTAAATTATTGACTGAAATTGATACGATAATGATGAGATACGCCCACCATACAGTACAACATGACTTGCGTGCACAGTCAGTGACCCCGGAGTCACCAGAGAGTCGCAGACCCCCCGAGACCCCCAGGGGAAACGTACAAAGTTCACAGTTTTGCGAGTGTACAGGGAATCATAGTAAAATGTATAAATAAATTCCAAGGTTGCATTGATGCAAACTTGAAATACATAGACTCATGAAATGATGATATTTGACGACAGATTCAGCTCCTTCAGAGGAAAACCAAGTAATTGTCAAATTAAGAGGTCCAAAACTTTGACTTGAACGTCATTAACTGGAATAAAATAATTATAGAACGATAATATTTCAGTAGCTAGGAAAAAAACCATCGAATTATCATAGCAATAATTGAGAACTAGTTCAGATGTTGCGGAATGTATCAAATTATTTGTTGGATAGAATGTAAGTTCAATTGAAATTTCTCCGTAAATAATTGATTGAAATTTATATGATAATTATTAGTGAAACAAATAGACTCGTGAAATGATGATAATTTACGACAGATAAAAAAAACATCGAATTATACTAAGAACTCATTCAGATGCTGCGAAATGCATCAAATTATTTGCTTCATAGAATGTAAAAGCTAATTGGTGTTTTCTCGTGAATTATTGACTGAAATTGATATGATAATTATTAGATACGCTCAAAATACAGTACAACACGACTTGCGTGCACTACCAGTGACCCCGGAGTCACCAGAGGGCCGCAGACCCCCGAGACCAGGACAAATGTACAAAGGTTCGCAGTTTTGCAAGTGTACAGGGAATCATAGTAAAATGTATAACTTGCATTGCTACAACTCCGAGATAAATAGACTCATGAAATGATATTTTACGACAGATTCAACTCCTTCAGGGAAAAACCATGCAATTGTCCAATTAGGAGGCCCAAAACTTTGACTTGAACGTCATTAACTGGAATAAAATAATTATAGAACGATAATATTTCAGTAGCTAGGAAAAAAACCATCGAATTATCATAGCAATAATTGAGAACTAGTTCAGATGTTGCGGAATGTATCAAATTATTTGTTGGATAGAATGTAAGTTCAATTGAAATTTCTCCGTAAATAATTGATTGAAATTTATATGATAATTATTAGTGAAACAAATAGACTCGTGAAATGATGATAATTTACGACAGATAAAAAAACCATCGAATTATACTAAGAACTCATTCAGATGCTGCGAAATGCATCAAATTATTTGCTTCATAGAATGTAAAAGCTAATTGGTGTTTTCTCGTGAATTATTGACTGAAATTGATATGATAATTATTAGATACGCTCAAAATACAGTACAACACGACTTGCGTGCACTACCAGTGACCCCGGAGTCACCAGAGGGCCGCAGACCCCCGAGACCAGGACAAATGTACAAAGGTTCGCAGTTTTGCAAGTGTACAGGGAATCATAGTAAAATGTATAACTTGCATTGCTACAACTCCGAGATAAATAGACTCATGAAATGATATTTTACGACAGATTCGACTCCTTCAGAGGAAAACCATGCAATTGTCCACTTAAGAGGCCCAAAGAACGGTGAAACCACGCACCAGACGATTTCAGTGCCGGGTAAAGGCACTTTGTGCGTTAGCACTACTCTCCAGGAGCACGAGGACAGAGAGGACCTGCAGGTGAAGATCTCTGATGTGGGAGAGGGAAACGATGATTTAGCAGTTCCTGGTCGTCCCGGGGCTGCCCCTGGAGGCACTGGAGGGGCTCAACGAGAGGTGCAGGAGGTGGAGCAGATACTCGAAGTCAGAAAGAAGAAAAAAAGTGGTAAAAAGGCCTGTGGCTGTGGGGTAGATGAGAACAATCTCCCCAATTGTCCAGGATCTGAGAAATCCCTCACTGATGGTCCCCCAGGCGACGATTCTTCGGAAAAAAAAAACGACAATGAGAAAAAATCCACTGGAATACTAGATAAATTAGGAGGAAAGTTGAAAAAAAAATTAAAAAGTGATGGAGAGACTCTAAATCATCAGAAGGAAATGACACATCATGGGGTTTTGGGAGAAGCTTCTGGGGTACATTCAGGGGGTGATAACTTGGAGGTGCTCCAGCTCACTGGGTCGAATTACGTGAGGGTGCTGACGGAGATTGAGGAGCATGTTCGAAATTTGAATGATGGAATGAAGATGATTAATTCGATCATGCAGTCGCAGAACTCGAACCTCGACGAGACGATTTATCGGAGTTTACCTGCGGACAGGATCGCGAAGAGGAGAGTGGAGACTCTTGAGGATGTAGAGGGGGATGGGAGAGGGTTTGATCCACCGAGAATGTCAACTCCGAAGAGTCCGAAGATTGATTTCAATGATAATGTTGTTGAAGTGGAAGCTAGTGGGGGTGAGCAAGAGGCAGGAGCTCCTGTTGTTGTCACCTCGAAGAAGGAGACATTGTTCGTGAGACAGAGTCCGTCCTCTGGGTGTCAACAGGTGCGACAGGTGACGATTTCGAAGACTGTGTTGGATGAGCCAGGTGAGAGGAGAGGGAGAGGGCACAAGAGTAGGATACCCACGCGTTCGTCACCATCGAGGACAGTGACATCCCCGAGGTCTGAAGAGCAACATGAGGATATTCATCTGCCCGATGACACGTCGATTCGATTCACGAGACTCTCCTTCAAGAGTCCCAGGAGGGACAGGAGTCACTCGAGCTCACGAAGGCGATCGGGCCATTCTGACAGACGACAGCCTACTGATCAGGAATCCCTGGTTTTTCATTCATTACCTGAACATTCTTATCACTCTGGCTCTAGTAGGTCGCATCGTGATGGCTCGTCAAGCCCCAGGCACAAGAGGGCTCGTCGTGATCGCCAAAGGTGGCCCTAGAAGTGCTCCATTAGTATCGAAATGAATCCGTTAATTATCAACTGAAAGGTCGATTTTTAAATTCTCAATTGTAATTTAAGACAAATATTGTAATAATTTTGTAAATGAATATCATCGTGTTGGAATAAATTCTCGAATAACTCATTTTTAATTATAGACTCGTCCTCTTGACAGGGAAATATTGAATTTCTAGCGGTTGATTTAATTTTCATATTTTAACCATTTATTACATCCTTCACTGCAATCCTTTACAGCCTCATTTTGTTCACTTAGTTCGTCACTTCACTCACTGTCATATTTAAAATCTTTTCTTTGAAATAATCATTGAATAGTTTATGATCATGTCAGTGTGTTCAAATGTCCAACACTCGAAATAACTAATTAATTACAAATAATAAAAATAAAAAGCCTCGTTTTTTCCTCATATTTTTCATTGTGGTTTTTTCCTAGACGTTCAGCTAAACTTATTTTATATATATAATATTTATATATAAAATACATGATCGAGGCTCGTCGGGGGATCCGTTGTTTACACTTAAATATTAGTAATTAGTGTTTTTTCTTCATTAATTTTTTTTACCTTTTTATTTCAATTCTTAAACATTATTCAGAGGGCTGTGCCCTTGCAGCCTATTACAGGCGTAGCCTATGTTTTCTCTTCCTATCTTTGTTTTTTTTTCAATTTTTTTCTTCTTTATTTTAAATAATTACAAAAATCTGTTTTTTTTTCTTTATCCTTGCAACTTCTACGGTCTTGTCATTAAAGCCTAGTATAATACAGACACTTGAATTAACATATTCATTTATTGATTTTTTTTTCTTGTATTTATCAGCGAAAGGAGGAAAAAACGCTCGAAGAAAATTATTCGCGCGAATGAATTTTTCTCCTCGGGACAATTTCATGCGAGCATTCTTTTACTGAATTATTCTCTGTCTGATTATAATGAAAAAAATGTCACTATGTGGATGAAATACACGCGTATGTAATTTATATACAAATATACGTTTTTATTCTTGTGAATTCACTGACTTCTCGGAATTTTTCATTTAATTGAAAATTTATCAGAGAATTATCGTGATAAATAATGGCATAAATGCAATCTACTTTCTCCATGCACATGTCAATCACTCAATATTGATTTCTCTTCATTTTAGACTCTTTTCAATAGGAGAAAACTATCATTACAATATTTTAATTTCATCGCCATCATTTCATGATGCAATTCGGGCTTTTTTCCAGTATTTTTAGAGATGATTTTTTATAATGACGAGAGATTTGATAAAAATGATAGCACACACTCTCAGATTCACTCAACCACTTGGGAAAAATGCTCAAGACAGTATTTCATGCCCTCGCACACATGTTTTATTCATTAATTTTATTTTGTTTGCAACGACTTTTCAGAATTAAGAGAAATACAATGGACATTGAATTACTCTCGTACAACAACTATCAATTATTTCGATTTTTCTTCTTCCGTTTGTAAATATAAAAACAATGAGTTTTGAATTGTTCCTTAAACTGAAACATAAACGATTCTACGATTTTTTTAATCAATTCATTGGTCTCTCTTACCACGTAGACGTCGAGAGACACGATTTAAACCTAGTTTTGGGTAATTATTCCTGCAGTGATATGAAATTCAACAATGAGTTTACTTTTCCTCACTTATTCATCTTTCTTATCAACTTCAGCATCTTTTTCTTACGAACCAAGACGAAAGAAATAAGAGAAGAAAAATGATAATTCAACAAAACATTCGATAAAAACACTTTCTGATACTAATCATTTCGTTCTGTCAAGCTAAGTTGAGAAAAAAAAATTGTTCATTAATAATAATCAAAGTTACACTAATAATCGTAATAACATTCGTAATTTTTCTTCACCAGGTTCACCTCCCCAATCGTTATTTTTTGTACACTTTTCCTAAAAGCAATGCTTCATCCTTGTTTTCACATTATTTTTTTGAGAAAATAAATACTAATATTAAATCTGAATTATCTCTCGTTTTTAATCATTATCACTGTTGTAAGACATTCTTATCGCACAAGTAATCCATTTTAACTAAACCATTGTTCATGTATCTTTTGTTAATATTCCTTCGTATTTAATTTCTCCATTGGACACTAAGAGTTAATTATTTCGTCTGTTGTTTTGTGGTTTTAATTGTTCAAGTTACAATCTAAGTTGGCAATTGTTTCTCTCTGCCCATGTAAGTTTGTAGGCCTCATTTTGTTATGGAACATTGCTGCATCTTCATTGTTATTTTTCTTTTCATTGAAATTTATCTCATTTCACTTTGACATCTTGTGGGTTAATGACCCCCAGTTCGTCGTGGGGTTTTGCCTCAATTCGTGAGGCTGTCGTACGTCTTTATCAATTACAGACCTGGCTCGAGAGGTCACCTGTTGGTGTTACTCTGATCATTCATGTCGTAGAGGACTTGTGCTATTGTCCGGGAGGACTCCACGTTGCTCAGAGCAACGCCAGCTAGGTGAGGTTCATATGCTCGGAGGTGCCTGCAAATTAATATCATTGATGTAGTTGAATTGCGATATGTTTAATTTATCCACGAGCAGTTGATGAGCAATACATATTTCACTCTAGAAATCATTTTTACAAATTCGCAGTGGATTTGCCAGTTTATTTAAACTTTTCGAGGATTAAAATTCGTTTTTTACTATTAACTGCAAAATACGAAGCTTAAAAGGGGTTGTAAAGGTGATATTTTTGAAAATGCATCCACTAGTAATTTACGATAAATACATATTTTGCTCGAGAAATCATTGTTACAAGTTCGTTTTAATTTATTCAGCTCAAAAATCAGTTTTACAACTTCATAATTGATTGTTTTGTAAATAAAAGCTTCCCAAATATCAATTACACAACAAAAAAACTATCATTTCCGAAAGTTTTGATTATTTTCATTGTTCGATCATGAAAAAGACCTATTTGGATAAAACTAAATAGTGCAAAATAAATTGTTCTCACCTTCTTCCATGTGTAGAGTATATGACTAGGTTTCTGAGAATCAGAGCTGCCGTCAGGCGAATACTTTTCGTCACAGGACCCTCATTGTCATCCTGCAAACAATCACTCCCATTGTAAAAGCCATTCACGATAATTCATTAAACAAACAATGATTTTCCCATCTGGACAAGGACAGACAGAGCAGCAGGTATGAATTGTATAACTCCTTTATGCTAATACGTGCGTAAATAGTTGGTTTTTATGTTAATGCGAATGAGTTCCAAGCATGCTGACACAGGTGGTCTAACGAAAATGAGATGTTTCCACCACGAAACCAATCGAAAAAAGCAGAACGAATGCCAATTAAATTCGAAATCCATTTTTCTTCTCAGAATCGACATTTTTATTTTATTGACAACAACCTGAGGCTATTCCAGAGAGAAAGCGATTGCATAACGAGAACAATTGGACTCTGTTCTGCTAGTTTTTGATGGATTTCATGGCCTCTTAAGCATTTGCAACATTCTGCTTTAAAATTAAAATTAGCCAGATAAATTCTGATGAAAGGCAACACAATCGATGCAGGAATTAAATGACATGCGTAGAAAGGACAGGTGACACGAAAAAAAAAACAATGATTTGAGGAAAAACGAAACGTGAACACAAGCAGCATCACGATGAAAGCATGAACATGAACGATTTTCTTTCATTTCTCTTCATTGAGTTTACCTGTTCCGGTGGAGGATTTTGCCCAGGTCGGGGAGAAGAGGAGCTCGCGATAGTCGCAGCTGGCTTGGTCGGCCTTTGCTGCATTACCATAGAGAAGAAATACCAGTGTTAAGAATGTATTCATTGTCCAATTTGTTTAAAAAAAAAATAGAAAGTAGGTAGCAGTGACTCTTCCATTTCTATACAAGTTAATATAACCAGTTGGGGATGCCTAACCGATGTTAGTTTCAGAAGGAAAATAAGATAATTACGAAACAATTTTTATTTCAGGGAAATTGCTGTAATTTAATTAAACATTAGTGTTCTATTCTGGGTAGATTGAGGCTGTAGTGAAGTGGTTTGTGATAATCTCCTAATTTTTGTTACATCTTTTTGAATACCTCTACAATATTCGGCCATTATTTTTCGATTCATCGGTATTTTGTTGAATGAAAAAGATATTAATCTTGATGATTAAAATAAAAAAAAGTATTTTTACGAAAACTTTTTAGTCTCTCATCGATTCAAAAATGGAATTTTCTCTTCCAACAAGTTAAGGATGTTCGACACCCTTTCTGCCAAAATTCACGCTTTTTTAATTTTTCTGGCAAACTTATGATGGAATTGACGTGAAAAAATATAACGTTTTTGCGTTTTGTCATTATTTAATGACTGACGAAATTTTAAGGTGGTGCGAACATTTTCCTGCGTTTTCTCTAAACTTTTAAAAAGAATCACAAAACTGTAGAAAAAACGCATGAAAATTATCGCACCACTACGCAACTTCGTGAGCCATTAAAGAATGACAAACCACAAAATCGTTATATTTTTTCACGTCACTCCCATCGATAATTTGCCAGAAAAATGAAAACAACGTCAATTTTGGCTAAAAGGGTGTCGAACATCCTTAATGATTCACTCAATTTCCCTCCAACTACTTCACCACAGTCCCCTGCCCCCTCCCCCCCCTCAAAATCCCCCAAAAACTCACCATCAACTCCTTAGGATTGACAAACTCGAGGGCATGTCTCTTGATCGCATGGAGGGCAGCATTGGGGGCATACCCAGGATGATGAGGAGTTGATGCAGTGGTACTAGCCACCTCTGTCTTCCCAGCAGCAGTGAGTTGTTTCCTCCTCTGGCTCATGCTCTCAGCATTGCAATGTCTATCATACAAGTGGGTCATCAAGGAGAACCTCCTCCTCTTGAGGCCATCGCAGCTGGCCCACAAACAAAGAATTTCCTCAGGCCCAGTGGGACAATGAGCCTCACAAACATGAAGATAAACCTCATGAGAGGTCTTGAACTGCTTCAAACACCCCCTCCACTCGCAGAGATAAGCATTAGGATCAATCTTAATAGTAAATGTCTTGGTTTCAGAATTAACGAGATTGCTAGTCGATGGTTTGTTCTCCGGCTCTGTGGAGGTGCTCGTCGACGTGCTGACGGCCTTCACAATCTTCACTTGTTGCTTGCCCCCGCCATGAGTGGCAGCAGCTTGATGAGGAGTAGTTGGCCTAGTAGGTGGTGGCGTTGAAGCTGGCGTTGGAGTCACCACCCTCGAGGGTACACTACTCGTTATAGGACACTGTTGAGCCATCGTTGGTATGGTAACAGTGACAGTTCCCTGATTGCTCTGTGCAACAGAGCTATTAACAATAATTGAAGCCTGCTGCAGTCCAGTTGATGCTGACGCAAGTGGTGGAGGAATAGCTCCAATTGAACTCTGAATCATGGGTCTTGGGACCTGTGTTACCAACACCTGCGGTCCCTGAGGGGTCATAGCAACCATCTTCTGAGGTGCCTGTTGAGCTGCTGATTGTGGCTGCAGAATAATTATCGTCTTGGCACCAGTCCCCTGCTGCTGGGTTGTCTGTGCCACCAGTACTGTTTGTGCTTGGCCCTGAACTAAAGCCGTTTGTGATTGTGCTAGTACGTAATTCTGGCCTGGTACACCACCAGACACGACGTATTGCAGCTGTCCACCAACTCCCTGTTGGAGAAGTACCTGGGGCTGCGAGGGATTAGGTCTTGCCTTCAACTGTCCACCTGGAATTATCATCTGATTGTTCTGAATGGCTTGTTGCACTACTATCTGCCTTGGAGCTGTCATGATCAACGGCTGGGGCTGGGGAATAGTTTCAACCTGATTGTTGATGAACGCTCTGGCCAGTGGCTCTTCCTTTATCACTGGGGGCATTGGCTCCTCCTTGATCACTGGGGCCTCCTCCAGGTCTGTCTCATCCTCTATGCAATCCGCTGCCAGAGCTGCGTACAAATTGGCCGCTGTCGATGACACCTTCACTTCATTGTCTTTGTCGTCCTCCTGGTCTTCGGATTTTATGCTGGATACTGTGGACTCTGCTGTTGTGTCGGTGGGCTCTGGGGACGTTGTGCCGTTTGAATATTTTGGCTTTTTCAGCTCGAGCTCGTCAGAGTCTGTTGACGTTCTCTTCATGCCTCTGGGGGGCTCTATCAGGGCATTGTCTGACACCTCTGGCTGGATCACACTGTTCTCCTCTGGTTCCTGCTTTATTTTCACCTCTGGGGGGTCCTTCAGGGCCTTCTTTATGTGATTCTCGACTAAATCTTTTCCTTTTTCGTTTATGGAGTTCTTACCCAGGACTCCGTTCACTACTACTTCCTTATCGACTTTTCGCTCGAGGAGGTCTGCCAGCATCAGGGGTTTTTCCTTTGTGCTTATGCCTGATGAGTCCTTGGAGGAGCCGTCGTCCTGGGCGTCTATGTCTAGACTACTGGGGGCACCGTTCAGGAGGATCCCTTCGAAACTTGTCAGGGAGTTCTCCTCCTCTGCACCCACTCCTGAGCAGTCCCTGCTGCCTCCTATTCCACTGGAGGAGGCCAGGGAATTATTTGTGGAGTCTGAGTCTTCGGCTAGAGGGGTGGATATTGTTCGCTGATTCTGCTTGTTGGCGATGCCCAGGGGTCTTATCACTTTCATTGTTGTTGTTATGTGGTTCTCGGTCATTGTTGATATTGGGGTTGTTGAGGTCGTGGGGATTGCTGGGTGGGAGTCATTGTCGTTTAATTCAGTCTGAAACAGAGATCGATGAGTTTAGTGGGGATGGGGTGAGGACATTGTCAACAATTGTATCCTGGCATTTTCTGTGACTGCTAATCTCATTATGCAATCATCTCGACAACAATTGATTTTATAAGAAAATGTAAAAACAATTTTTTTTTAACTGCTGACATTTTTAAGATAAAACGTCTTCTCATTTTCTATAAAATTGCTTATGAGAAATGTAAAAAACTGACTTGTTCGCAAGTGAAATTAAATGTTTCTTAAGCATGCATTAGTAAATAAAATTATGCATTCATCTCTTAATAGTTGATTTGAAATTGAATTGAAGTCTATTTACCTTTTCAATATTATTAGCAACAATTATCTTGGCGCCATTCAGCCTCTGAATTTTCCTCCCAGATGTTGCAGCATTTGACACATTCTTCTGCTTCGAATTAACAGGAGCTTTGATAACCGGTGCTGGACTGGCTGGAGTGGCAGCAGGAGCAGCTGGCTGAACTCCACTCACCAATTGCTGCTGCAGTAGCCTCTGCTGCTGCTGTCTCTGAGCAACCTACCAGAAATACCAAATGAATAATCTCATCCTTCACGAACCCCTGCACCTCATGCCAATTAGTATTTTCAAAAACCGCTCAGTGCCCTAATCATTTTAATTCAATATCATAAACAAAATTCCATTAATCTGTTAATATAAACTCCTCAAATCCTCATTTGAATATTTTCTCAATAATCTGGAAGAGGGACTCCACAGGAGAGGGGTAGATCAGGATGTAGAAGGACGAGAGAACAGGGAAAAACGAGATGAAAAGTTTAAAAATAAACTCAAACGATAAAACAAGAGCAAACAAAATAATGAAAACGTGAAAAGCAAAAACTACGAACAGAAATTCAAGGCAACAGAACAAATTACGTTTACTTGTCTTAATCTAACGAAAATAATAGAACAGATGAGAGATACTGGAGACCCCTGGAGCTGTATAAATGATAATAATTGTCCTGGGCATGCTAAATCACACGCTTAAACTGTAAATAAAAGTCATTAAATCACTCTCTTTCTCTCTCTCTCTTTCTGGTATTGCTTATCTCTCCCTTCCTCCGGTTAATGAACAACAATGATACCTGGTTGCTTGTTGTTAGCTGATTGGCACTGATGCTGGATGCGATGCTAGCAGGAGTATTTGTTACGCAGGCAATCGGGGTAGACACACAAGTGACAGCGGCACTGGGCATGCAGTCACCGCTGACCGTTACCTTTGTTGCCAATAGGCTTTTTATTATTGAACTCGATGGTGGACCAGTGCGTGATTCCTCTTTAATCACTTGAGTATGTTGATTCTGTTGATTTGTTTGCTGGTGCTGTTGCTGATTGGTTTGTGAACCTGTTGCTAGGAGGGCCTGGCTCAAGTGCGGGTGCGCCACTGACACCTGATTTACACGGCAATCACAGAACAAAAAAAAATACCAAATGCTCAAGGAGGAAAAACTAGCAATACGATCACGATGATGTCAGGAAGCTGATTACGAGTATCCAAGTACTTCGACTATTTTCTTGATTCTTTTTGACATTTGTGATTTTCCGTACGAGACTTATTTTTAATTTTTTTAATTTGTTTTTTTATTTTATTATTGGAACTTTTGAAAGTCTTTTTTTGATGAATTCATGAAAAATTAAAAGGTACTATTCTTCAAAATTTTTTCAACATTCGGAGTTGAATTTCGAGACGAAAATCTTCCATTTGAGATGTACAAAATAATATGAAAATTACTATCACTGGAAGTTATCCAAAAACAATCAATTTCCTACCCTAAAAATTATTATTTCATATTTTTAATGAATTGATTCAAATTTTAAATATTCTTGAGTCTATTTTATGGGAAAAAAATAATTTCCAGAATTTCAAATAATTCGGATTATTTATCTGCAACAACAGAATGTTTAAAAATGAGTAATCTACTTAAAAGATGTCATCAGCTGCAATTGACCGGAAAAAAAATGTTTTTAAATTGAATAATAAAAACTTTACACAGTACTTGGATACCCCTAGGATTTTTCAAAACTACTGCAATGATATGATAACACAGATGGGTCAAATGACTACGAAAATTAGATGATCCACCACCTCGAGGATTAAGGAATTCGTTCCAGTCAAAGAGAAGCATAACTTCCCCTCAAACCAAAACACATTGAAATAATTAATCAAGAAATGTGGGCAGAGGCCGAGCGTCTATGTTGATACCATCATGTTCCCTAAAATCTTTTGTTCCTCCAGATATCACTTCTTCATCCATGCAAAGCGTGACGAAAGAAAAAAAAAAAGGACAATTCCAAGGGGGAATGGACCCCTCGAAGGAGAACAAAAATAAATTGATGATTAAAAATAATTAATGAAAAAAAAAAAAATTCAAAATTAAGATTTGAAGGTCATGAATAATCGTGTGACGTTACAGAGAGCACTAGGACTCGGACCCACCTGACTTTTAGAGTCAACCTTGGTGACTGGATTCTGGGTTTGTATTGGAAGATTTGTGGTTGGTTTTGGTGGAGCTGACAAGTGGGCTTTTAGTATAGGTGAGGCTGGTGTTGATTGAGAATTTTGGGATAATTCAGGGCCTGTGCTATCGGGATTTGGACTTGTGGGTGTTGTGACTGTACGCTGTTGTACGGCAAGCACCTTTACTGGAGTTGAATTAACTGTTGTCGTTGTTGTTGCATTCTGGCTTGTATTTTGGCTCGGAAGTGTTGCACTCGTTGTTGTTGAACGGACACGTATACCCTCGTAGTACTGTGTACCCGTTGTTTCACCTTTTACTGGATTTGGACCAATTGTACCACCAAATACAGATCTGTCAACAGAGATAATCCACAAATTATTATCCACAAATTGACGAAATTCCCAAACTTATTTGTGGAGCTAAAAAACAAATACACTGTTGAAATTTTTTTAAATTTTTCATCGAATTTAATTAGCACTGAAATTTCAAGGAATTTCGCCATTGAAAATTCAGGATTTCAAATTATTATCACCTCAAATTGACGAAATTCACAAACTTATTTGTGGAGCTAAAAAAGATATACACTGTTTAAATTTTTTTATAATTTTTATCGAATTTAATTAGCATTTTTCCGAAATTTCAAGGAAATTCGTCATTAAAAATTCAGGATTTCGGAGAAAAATCAAAGAGAATGGTCAGTTTCAGTTCCATTTTTCCCTGAAAATTCAATGTAATTTGGCACTGAATATTCATATTAAACTGGAAATTCAAATGAATTAAAGAATTCTCGTCGTTATGCTGCTCAAAATTCTGGAATTTTACAAAATTTTCAGTGAAACCCTAAATCCCATGATTTTTCTCCCCTAAATCGCATTCAGTGTAACTGTCCTGAAAATTAATTTGTCCTGTGCATGAAATTTCATTTTTTTTCTACCAGTGTATATCAGAAAAACATATCTATCAGAAAGTCACAAGGGTCAGAACGGAATATTCAATGGTCTCCCCAAAAAATATTCTTACTATTGCATTCATCTCGACTCCATTTGATTTTAGAATGAAACATCAATAACTTTTTTCGACCTAATAAAATGTCCAACACAAAAAGTCCTGCAATTTTCTCTAGAATTGTTCATAGCAAAATGTAAAAAACCGACAGTTCTCAATTCAGACCTAATCTTCACTCAATGATCTTCAATGACGCAATCATTCACAAACGTATTCTCGCACCCAAAAATTCCAAAAACGATAAATCTCCCTCTTACCTCACACAACGTGGAAAATGCAGTGGAGCAATGACCCCCCTCCTCCCAATTTTCGTGCAGCACCCAAGATACTTCTTGTACAACTCCTCCTGCTCAATCTTCCCCCCAGGGGCGAGTTCGAAAGTGGCCCTGAGCCAGCCCAAAGCAAACTGTTCATTCTCCTGAATGATCTGCTGATGTGCATGCTGCTGCTGCAGGGAATTGGCAGCCTCCACACTAGCCTTGCTGTTCCCCTTGCCGCCAACAGAAGAAGGAGTTGCAGGTGTAGAGGGTCTCGAAGGTGCTGGACTAGTAGCAGGTGCAGCAGTAGCACCACCACCACCCCCACCAGGAGCAGCAGCAGCAGCAGTAACCACAGTGCTACTAGCAACAGTAGCAACACTCGAAGTAGTGACAGTAGCCACTGACGTAGTATTAACCGAAGTAACCGTACTACTGATAGTCGTCGTCTGCTGTCCCCCACCAGCACTTGAACTTGGCACCGCTACCGTCGAGACAGTCTCCACAACTCTCATAAGTATACACGCTTTAGGTCCATAACTCTGCGCCTCAACAGTAACAAGAGCCACCAGAGTGTCAATGGCTCCACGTACCCGAGCAATGCTGGTACAAGGTCTCTCCCCCAGCGATGTCAACGCATAAAGACACTCCAACGTATAAACCAACAGTGCAATATCGCTGAGGGCCAAAAATCTGCATATCAACTCATAAACACTGTCTGTCAATCCATAAGTTACAATTTCCTCGTTACTATCATGCTGGCTGATTTTATTGAGCACTTCTAAACACGATATCACGATAAAACGATCAGACGAATTAATACCATTAGCTATACACGTTAATACACAGTCAGTTAATCTCTCACCGGCCTCCTTGAGAATCATTTCGTTGGATATATTACCGAGTATGTCGAAGCCAAGCTGATGGAGATTGCTCCATCGTGCTCTGACACAGAGTAAAACAAAGCGTAGAAAGCAACGATTTCTGCCCAGTACAGCGGCATTCTCAGGTGTAAAACTTAGATTACGGAGGATTGAGGCTATCTGGAGGACACGTTGGCCGTACGGGTCCTGTGTACCCAGGGTTCTGCCCACGCAGAACAGATCCTTGTCCTCGTCCTCGAATTTAATCGAGTTTTGATTTTGATCGGTGAAGGCGTCGTCATCTGCAATACTCGCTGGTGTCTCCAGACGAGGACTGTCTTCTGGCTGTTGTTCAATCTCCATTGGTGTCTCCTCGGGGCTTTGATCACTCGATTTTTTCGACTTCTTGTCCCTCTCGCGCTCCAAAAATTTTCTACGCGAAAATGTGTTCAAATCGGTTGTCGGCTTCTTCATGAAAGTCTTCTCATTCGTGAGATCCAGAACTTCTGGGGAGTCGAGAACGTCCGACCAGAAGGAGTTTATTGAGTAGTTGCGGACGCGAGAGTATACTTCGATGAAGAGCTGTCTGGTGCCGGGGGAGTCGAAGACACCAGCGTGCGCCAGGAGGATGTTTATTAGACGTGGATATTTGTCGAGACGGAGGGTGTGTTTGCCCTCGTTTGACAGCAGTGTGCAAACGTTTATCGCAAAGTCTTGCTCGTTGGGGAGGGGCGAGAGGAGGGAGAGGGCGAGCTTGTCGTAGTTTGATGGCTTGTAGAGATTTGATGAGAGGCCATTGTATTCTCGGAGAGATTCTACACATAAAAGTTTTTTTTTGTTTTTTTTTTGTGCATTGTTCGAGCTTCTGTGGGGATTGAAAAACTTTGGAGTTATCCGCCATTTGAGGGCTATTTAGAAGTCTTCACTGGGTCTTGGGACCCATTAGACAGTATGACGGAATATGGGAATAACTAGGGGAAATCGCGGACCCGATCGATTTTCCCGTACAACCACGAAAAAACACTTCATTTTTTCGTGTTTTTACCTTCAAAATGCTCCTTGCCCCGTAGTTTTGATAAGATTTTAGCTTTTTTTCGTTTAAATGTTTGTTACACTCCGAAGAATAAAGTTAAGCATCCGTTTTACTTTATTCGCAATCGATCATGAATAAATGAATTTTAGATTTGAATAAATGAATTTGAGTTGAGTTAAATTTATGAAATTCAAAATTCTTTTATTCATGATCTGTTGCGGATAAAGTAAAACGGATGCTTGACTTTATTATTTGGCGTGCAACGAATATTAAAAAAAAAAGATAGAATCGTATCAAAACTACGGCGCAAGGAGCATTTTGAAAATAAAAACAGGAAAAAATGAAGTTTTTCGTGGTTATACGGGGCAAAATTGAAAGGTGAAATGGTTGATCTATTGGGGGGTATCCATCTACTGATAGCATTACCCTACTTTCAAGTAATTTCACTATTTGAGCTTTGTGAACTTTGACTTCAAATTGGAAACCCTTCTTGCAAAAAAAATCGTGAATAATGAGTTTTCGAGTGGAACTTGAAAGACTCTTCAACCAAAACTATTTTTTCAACGTCTACAGACCGACAAACACTCAGAGAAAAATCGACATAAGATCACAAAAATCATTTCTTGAGCGAAAAACATCGCCTACATTTGATCAGTTTATGGTAGGTTTCAGACAAGAAATCGGTGCTCTTCGGGCTGAGGAGGACGTTACTGAATGAAAAGGTGGTCTTTTTTTGAAATGAAATAATATTCCTTAAAAGACTAGAATAGTTTGACAGAAGGAAAAGAAGATATTGCTTCCCTTCGAACTCTTGAGCGTAAGCGACGGTTATATTTTTTTAATATCTGTAGGTTTTCCTCTGCATAAACTCTCTATTCATTCAATATGAAACTCTCTGATTCACGATTCACTGAATCGAAGTTTTTAATATTTTCAGTCATTCCCTCACCTTCTGCCCCGAAAAAACCGATTTCATGTGGCAAGAAATTCTCACTTTATCATAAAATGTTCACGTTCAAATCCCGAACACTTCACCGAAATCTGACATTGTCTGACCCTCCTCTAATCATCCAGAATTCTTATCCCAATCAATTTCTCCTCAAGAGATGAGATATTTGTCCCAAGAAATTATTTTTGTGATATTAAATTTCTCTCAGCGCATCACGCCTTCCACCAAGACCTGTAAAACCGACTTGTGCAACATTACATTATCAGCAAAACCAATCGACAAACCTGCGACATTATGCTGGTTATGATTGTAAGTGAGTGGAACCGAGTGCAGTGACCTGGCAGACCACTTTCTATGCCTCGAGTCCTCGTCATCGTCATCCCCCTGATGTCCATCCTCCCCGAGGAAGTGGACCTTCTCGTACCTATCGAGATACCTGAAACAAGCAACAATTCATAGCCAACTGAAACAGCCGCACTGACGAGCACGGCACAACCGTTCGACTGCACCTCCAAGTCAAGAATGACCGGTTAACATGGCAAAGAACTTTTGACTCAGGGTTCACCACGTGACTCTGTGGCGTGTGTCGCGACGCCGCCTGTGCCGCCAGCATGAATGAAAACAGGGGGGCGAGGGGGAGGGGTCGTAGTAGTAACGTACGTGAATGTGCCGTGAGATACAGCAGGAGGAGGAGGGAGGGCGGGAGGGAGACGATTGGACTGAAAGGTGGAGGGAGGAAGCTACTACCGCGACGCTTCCACGCTGCTTCACTCTTGCCACAACTCGGATCATTCACCCTCAACTCTCAAGGTCGAAGTGAGGTATGTTGAGACAATGGACCGGAGTGACCCACGGGATAGATCATTCGATTATTATTAGACGGCCATTTGGGGGAGGGTTGGTTTTCTTACCTGAGGTATATTTGCTTGAGTCCGACACCGCTGTTGACACAGCCTGGTGGTAGGTAGAACTGCTCGCACAGGAGAGACCACTCGTTTCTCGTATTCACCTGGAATCATAAAGGGGTCAGTTGGGGTTTTAGCGGAGTCGCAAAAAGTGATATATCAGGTCGGTGTGGGTACACTCGGAGATGAAGAATATTTTTGTGA